ATCCAGACAAGAAGAGAGGGTAAAGATGAAGACATTGCTTTATACTAAAGGAAGGTATAATTTCATGTATTTACAAAAATTAATTCATATAATATGCAGTTTTTACTTATTTGAAAGGAAATGAATAATGAAATCACAATTTGCAAGTGATGAAACCATAATTCTAGCAAGGCCTCTAACTCCAAAACCCACATTCCCACCGACTATGTCATCAAGCTTCCTTAAGTTCTAGAGTGGTCTTCCAAACTACAGAAGCATAGTTTAAACTCTTTGTGCCTAAACCAATGCTTCTGCCTTTCTTGGACTTGATTCCCCTAATAGTCACTAAGCTAAATTTCAGCTCAGTAGGGTTAGAGTCTTTTCTCAGATGAGATAAAACAAAACAAACAAAACAAAAATCCTGGGAGAAAAACTAGTTTGAAGGTAGGAATCAAACCTCTGGATTTAGATGACTTCAGGTTGAAATGTCAATGACGTATTATAGTAAAGATATGGAGTAGACTGTTGTCACTTAGTTTGAATCTCAGAAAAAGAACTGAGCTGAAAATGTAAGTCTGACGTGGTGATCATTCTACTACGGATAACATAGCTAACATTTCTTTAGCATAACTTCTTGTTCTTATTGTAATACAATTTTTTTCCCTCATGCTTTCTTTCTCATCTCAGAAAATGGAACCACCACCTTCCCAGTGGTCCAGCAAGAAATCGGAGGGCCACCTTTGTTTTCTCTTTCATCTTTACCTATACGTGTATCCACCAAATCTTGTTAGATCTATTTCCAAAGACATTCTAAACCCATCAGCTTTCCTCTGTCTCCACTGTCACTAAGTAATTGACTCAGTCACTGCCCAATCTTCCCAACCTATTTTATTGTTCATATGATTTGAATTATTGGAATTCACATTTTTTAAAATATGCAAGTAAAAACTTTCAAAACTGGGGAAAATGAATACTAAATGTAATCTTTATAAAGGCTCAACCTATAATTTTCTAGTAAATCACAGGTAAGACTTCATAATCTTCGATCAAGAATTTATATTTAACATACAAGCCAAATTACATCAAAATGGTAATTTGAAAAAATGAGTATCGCTATCAAAAATGAACTTTTAAAAGAAAAATCAAAACCCATATGCAAATGTTAGTTATATTGTGAGGATGTACCATTATCGGTACTCAAAACATCAAAAAGTTCATTCTGGGAACAGATATAAATCCAGCTTACTGAGGCTCAAGAAAAAGCCCTATTGAGGGGAGAGCCCAAGGGACTATGGTGACGGTTCAAGGGTGATGTGTGGGTGGGAGTTCTATAGGGATTATACCTGAGGGAAGAAATTAAATATTGTACAAAAATGACCAACAATGTAAGAAAATAAAGCCATAATGCTTAAAAAAAAAAAAAGGCAAAAAACAAGGCCCTATTACATGCCAAAGGAATTTTTTAAACCTTTAATTACAGCAGGTATAGCTGCAAATAGCTCCTTCGAAAAATAAATTCACTCTCAAATACTATCAGTGAAGATTAAAACATTCTCTTCAAGTGCCAATAGAAAAAGCATTTAAGCTTACAGCAACTCTGCTAAACTAAGGATATTGCCTCCTACTTCCAGGCAGTTCTGAGATTTGTGTAAGAAAACAAATTTTACTTGATGTCATTTTAAGAAAATGGGCTCTCACATTCAACAAAAACACAAAATCTGCCAAAATGTGAGCAGAGAGAAGTTTTAGAAGAAGAAAATCCAACATGGGAGAGGAAGGAAAAAAGCAAAAGTAAAAGGAGCCCTTGATTTTTCCTCATAGGATTATTCACTTTCATCTCTGCATTTGCCAGCAGAGCTTAGAGGACATCTTCCTAGTAGATCATTACATTGCTTCTCGACACGTGGAGCCTGGGTTCAATCTGGAGCAGCCTGTGCTAGGAATAAGGAAACTAGGAGGCTGCGCTCCCCAAATTATAGAGTTATGTGAACCACTGGCAAATCAATAAAATTTGAGAAGAAAAAAACAAAGAAACTAAGGGGATCCTTTAAGAATATAGGAAAGGTATCAAGAAATGTTTTCCACTGGGAGGACTATATTTTATTTTTGTAAGAGTATGGTTCCCAAACAATTTTCCTTTGCTCTTTAAGAAATCAAAACAATTGTCTCAGAGGCTAAATTGTGCCAAAAGGCAGATAATTTTTGGGCCTGAGAAAGATAGTAAGAATAGTGTTCTTAGCCAAAAGCTTCACCCATTTAAGATATTTCAAATAAACATTTGTAATTACCTTAGTAAATGCAATTAACACACCTAAGTAAAATCATCAGTTCAGAAGACATAAAAATATAAAAATAAGCAAAGAAGAGAAAAATAGTACAGGAAGGGATAAAAGGGCATACTGCCTCAGAGGAACAAACATAAAAGCAGCTTCTTCATACCTTAAGCCACTTAAAGCCCAAATGACTGGTCTCATGCATTATTTCACTCAACAGCTTCAGATAGGCAGTGAGTAGCAGAATGGTGGAAAACAAGATAAAGAGGAAAGAGAGAAAGAAAAAAGCATGCAATTAAAGGCAAATTATATATAGCTACTTTGGAAAACTGTTTGGCAGTTTCTTAAAAAGTTAAATATAGTCTTACCATACAATGCAGCAAAAACACTCCCAGGTATTAAACATAAAATATATGTTATACAAAAACCTACACATCAATGTTTATATATTTAATTATTCATAATTACTCATAATTGGAAGCAATAGAGCTTTTCTTCAATAGGTGAAGGAATAAACAAAACTGTAGCACATCCATACAAAGGACTGTTATTCAGAGATACAACAAAGGAACCATCAGGCTACAAAAGACAAGGAAGAGTTGAAAATGCAGTGGCTAAATCAAAGTACTTCAATCACACACACTGTATGATTCCACCTATATGAAATTCTGAAAAAGGCAAAACTAGAAACAGGAAAAAGTCAGGAATTGGGGAGATAGATGAAGAATGAAGACCTGGAGCAGAGCAGATTTTTAAGGCAGTGAAATGATTCTGTGTGATACTGCAGTGGTTCTCGCCTGAAATTATACATATTTGGCAAGACCCACAGAAAGCACCACACAGAGAGTGAACTGAAATATAAAGTATGGACTACCTACTAATCATATATCAATGCTAGTTCATTGATTTTAACAATGCAAGATGTTGATATCAGGCAAAAATGCAGGTGGAGGAAGGAGTATATGGGAACCCTGTACTTTCTGCTTAACTTTTCTGTAAACTAAAATACTGCTCTAAGAAAAGTAACTTAGACTCAAAAAAGCAAGACACAACCAGTTCATACAATAATAACTTTAAAAAGAACAGAGAACAGTCTATATGCCATAATATGTCTTATTTTTTAAATAAACTTTTTTTAGTTGTTTTATTATGATATATTATGAATTGCCAAAAGTGGTATATGATCTCCGAGCACAAGACTTGTCACTAAATAGTCCCAACACACAAATCTTTTCAGAAAGAAAAGGAGGGGAAATATTTTGGAAACAAAGAATACAAAGAAGGTAAAATCAGAATAAAAAAACCCTCTCTTAACTTAGAATAACTGCCACCATCTCTTCTGTGAATTTCTTCACTACCCAAGCTCTTAAATTGTACATTAGGAAATATTTAAAGAGAAAAGACAAGGTATTTATCTAGCAACAGGGCACTGAAAAACACTCATTCTGTGAAATGATCAATTTTCCCTTCAGTTTTGCTGATAAATTTCAGTTTTTCTTTCTATACTCACCACTAACGAAACTATATACTCACATATCACACCTTATGAGGGACACCCTTATGATACATACTACAGTACCTGCCTCCTTGCTATGCAGCTACCTTAACTGACAAGAGCACAGGTAGTCTATGAAGATGGTTCCCCAAAAGATTCATATTATCCTCTTACTGAATTCTTTTTACTGGTTAGCATTTACATTTCTCCAATAAACACAGACAGGAAATAATCACTGAAAAATTAAATGGTACAAAGCTTTGCGTGAGAGAGATTCAACCTCACAACACACTCTCAAGGGAATCAAGATTAGAGCCTTCACTTGCTAAAACTATTTCTTCCATTCACACCCCCCATCTTTGGCTATTTTTTTTAATACCCTTTCAAAGCAAGGGTATAGGGGTCTAAAAAAATGCAGAAATATATATAAAGTAAGTGCCCCAAATAGCAGCAGTGGAACTCTTTAACAAGTCACCTCACAGCTGCAAAATGCTGATCAAGTACTCCAAAGTGTGGTGATGTCTATGTCCTTTGTATATGCTATTAACCGTAAGCTGTTAAAATTTTAAGTGCTCTTTGGAACAAGAGCACAGTCTAAAATAAACTATCTGCTGTTTAAAATTAACATCTTCAACACAGAAATGTTGTGTTTTCCCTTTCCATTTAAAAATCAAGATGTGGGGTCTCCCTGGTGGCGCAAGGAGTTAAGACGCAACCTATGAGGCTGTCTACAGCCTCTGCAGCATGAATTCAATCCCTAGCCAGCCAGGGAGCAACCCATGAGGCGCAGCAGACCTGTCCTGACTCACCCGCTGCTTCCCTCAGCAGTGTACTTCAGTCAATCTGCCTGTTCTGTTCCCCACCCTGTCTGTGGTGAATCCTCTCACCCCCCCACAGTTCTGGCCTATACCCTAGTTCTTGTATGCATAAATAAATAAATCTTAAAAAAAAAAAAAACAGAATGTAAAATATCTCAGTAATATTTAAAAAAATAAAAATCAGATGCATGATCATGTACTATATACATAAAAATTAAATCAGCCTTAAATTATTAATGCCAATGTCTCTGCATGAACATGTCAATTCTTATACAACTATATTTTAATTTTTATTTAATTCTAGATCTTACACTTGATGAAGTGCTTCTGAAATCCTACAAACACAGATTATGTATTGTTTACCTAACCTATACTAGTTGGGTGTTACCTTCACTTAACCAGCAGCATTGCCAGTAACTATATAAAATCGCAGACCTGTTTTTCAGCATTGGTCCTGGCTGATTCCTCTTGTGCGAGCACCATTTCTCGCTCTGCAGTTATCTGTACACTTTCTCTTAGTGCTTCTTCCAGTTCTTCAATCCTGTCATCCTTCTTACGGAGACTGTCCTGGAAAACGATGGAAGACGGGTGAAGTAGACTAGTTAATTAAACCAAGGAGAGCCTATTTATCAAGAAAGGGCTATCTGTTTAGACACGTTCTTCCCTTCAGAACTAAACCCAGACCAAAAAGATAGCTTCGCAGAGGAAAGAACGAAACAAGAGAAGAAAGAAGAAAGTTGAAGAAGTATATTATTAAAAGCAAAGGGTCAAGTTAGTGAAGCAAGAAAAACTCTTGATAAACTTGATCTCTAAAACAGAGAGAATAAAACTGTTGGTGTTAGGTAGCACAGGTTGCAAGGGCTTGGTTATGTGAAATCACAAAGCTGTTTTTGAATGACTTTCTAAACTGGACTTAAAGTCATCTTGGATGATGCCTAAGTAAATGGACTGAATAATAAAGCATTCTCTTTCCCTGCAAAGTTAAGGAAATAAAAAAGTTAAGTACACAGCATGATCTTTCAGATTATATGCTTCATATAGACAATTTTTGACAAAGTCATTTTTATAAATGAAAAAGAAGATGCTTCCTGATGAATTTCAAAAAGCAATGTTTCTAGCAACATATGAAAAAACTAAAAATATGAAAATGGAATACCAATGACCCATTTGTTTAAGGACGAGTAATTCCATTAGCTGAGCAATGCCCACTATTCTGCACAAGTTTAACACTAACTTTTGGGTAAGTGAATCTAGATTTCTATTAGAAAGACAAACAAAATCCTACAAGACTTTAAGATCATTTGAGACAGAAGATCTTAAAATAAGAAGGATAAAGGAAGCAGAGTTTTAACAGGATGAAATATTGGATTCATCAAGTTATTATAAGCATTTCCTTCTTAAATTGTAACAGAAGAATAACAATGAAGTACTGCCTTTGATTAACATATAAAACAAAACAAAAAAAACCCAACAAATAAACAAGATTTGCTATACCATTCCCCACTTGGAGAATACTTGTATCATTAAAAGACATCCAAAGGAATTTTTCTTTTATCTATTCAATTCTCATTTAATTATATTGTGGCTTTACTTTTTTATGTGCAAGGTTTAAGAAAGTCCCTTTGACAAATCTGTCAAAAAAAAAATGAGATTTTGCTCCTGAATTTGTGGAGAAAAAAGAACTCTCCTACATTGCTGGTGGGAATGCAAACTGATCCAACCATTATGGAAAGCCATGCGGAATTTCCTCAACTACTGAAAATGGAGCTGCCATGTGACCTAACAATTCCACTCCTACAAATCTACCAAAAGGACACAAAGACATTTAATTCAAAAAGATACCTGCACCCCTGTGTTTACTGCAGCACTATTTACAAAAGGTAAGCTATGGAAACAACCCAAATGCCCCAAAATAGATGAATGGATCAAAAAGATCTGGTTTATATACACTATGGAATACTATTCAGCAATCAAAAAAGATAAACTCATGCCATTTGCAGGAACATGGATGGAGCTGGAAGGGATTATGCTCAGTGAAATAAGTTAGAGGGAAAAAGAAAAATACTGAATGGTTTCACTTATAGGAAGAATATAGGGGAACCAAATAAGGGATTGGGGTGGGGGAAAATAATAACAACAACAAAAAAAAATAACAAGCAACTAAAATCAGAGACATCCTGCAGAAGAGGGAGAGGGATCAAAACAGGAGAGGGAAGAGCACAAGGGACTATGGTGATGGTGCACAGGTGATTTGGTGGTGGGAATTCTATGGGGATGACACCTGAGAGGAGAAAGCAAACACTGTACAAAAATGAACAATGATGTAAAATATATATAAACTATATTAAAAAAATATACTATATTACCTGGACACCATAATGTAAACCTGATGCTGCAAAGATGAAAATGTAAATGCAAAAAAGTTTATTCTTCATCATTTATGATAAGTCAACAGATAGCTGATATCTAAATAAGAAAAATCACAAAACAATATAAGAATGTCACTGGAAAAGGTAAGCATTAACAGGAAATACCATAAGAGGCAAGACTGATCGTCTCATGGGAGTAAGAGTCAAGGTTAGACAGTAAGGTAGAAGATTATTATTATTGAGTATAAGCCATGGAGCATCATTTCACTTTGTAAATTATGTAAATACATTTGTTCTGGAAAAATATATAAATTTTAAAATACTGAAAAAGTAACACATACCACAAGTAAATTAATAAGACTATTAAGAACTTCTGTAAATGTTTTTGTCGTGACTGTTTCAGATGCTGCTATGCTAATAAAGATTAACTCCCGAGGAAAGAGAAAAGCAAAGTAGATGAATATATCTCAAGATGGCAAAAAAAAACTTTTTTTGAAGGGGGACAAATGTGTTACTTTAACTAATCATGCTCTCTGGTTTTTAATCAATAGTCTGGTGAATTTCTTCATGACAATAATTTGCATAAATGGGCCAAAATTATGATGAGAAACTCCTCACTAATCTTCAGGTAACTGGAAATTTCCAAGTGAGTTGAATATAATTCTATTGACAAAACTGTTCATCTACACAACACTTACAGTATATTCTGGTTTGAAGGAAGAGAAAAATCTCCAATCTGTTCTGTGCTCAAACTTCTTGAATAGAAATGACAGTTTTCACCAAGTTTCTTGGAATATGTGCATAGCCAACACAATTCAAGCTGGTAAAGTACTGCACTTCCAAAATCATAAAACACAATAGATCTGGTATAATTCTGCTCTCAGACCCAGGCTTGAGGAAGGATGGGATGTGCTGAAACTGCTAGAAGGGCTCCATGGTGGCTCAAATGAGTGACTCTAGGAGGCACAGGGTAAGGCTCTAAATATGTTCTTTCTCTTTCAAAAAGTCCACCTTCACCCGTCTTCAAGATAAATCATGAGGCACATTCAGGTTATGGACAAATCTATATAGAACCTCCAATATCACTAAATCCCTTCTACCTCTAGGATATTCTACAGGTTTGAAGAATTTGAGGCATTCATTAAATAGAAATGTGACTTATTGGAACCAAATATATGCAGAGATTACAGTTAATGTAAAACTGCCACTTAAGAAAATCACTCCTGTTGCTTGTTTTATTGATTTGCTGCTAGTTTAGAATAAAGTCTTAACTTTATCAGTTAACTTTATTTGTGCTGTCTAATATGGTAGCCATTAGTTATGTGTGGCTACTGAGCACTTAAAATGTGGCTAGTCCAAATTGAGATATGCTATAAATACAAACTAAAGATTAAAAAAAAGTAAAATATTCCATTAATAACCTTCATATTGATAATATGTTGAAAATAACACTTTGGATATACTGGATTAGATAAAATACATTATCAAATTTAATGGCATGTTTCCTTTTAAAGTCTTTAATGAATCTATTAGAAAATTCAGAATTATGTACATGCTCACGTAATATTTCTAGTGGACAACACTGCACCAGCTAAACAGTTTTAATATAGTTTTATTAATAGGCCTCAGATATATAGCTCTCTAAACATAACTCCTAAACATTTTGCTCAATAATTTTTTTTCAGTTGAATTTTGGCATTGCTGACCTGTTAAGTTGGATTACTCTTAACTTTTACTGTAACCACAAGAAAATCTCTCATTAGAGAGATTTTATAAAAAGTTGTGCATATCATGTTTTGCATAAATTCATAATACCCTAGCCTTATTAGTGCACAAATATGAGCTACACAGGTGAAAGTTCTTACAAGAAACAATGCCCAAATCGCTAACACTCCTCAATACTGAAAATAACTGCAGTGGATAACATAAACAAAACAAATTATAACAGCACATACTCCTGCCAACAGAGAATATCAAACTGGGCATTTAAAGGGAAAAAAATTCAAGTATGTGGGACATCACTTTAATACCTAGGATATAAAGTACCTGTACTAGTTTATTGTATATAACAAGTTTCCTCAAAATATAGTAGCTAAAACAGCAATGCACATTTTTTCTCTCTCATAGTTTCTGTGGGTAAGGATTTACAAGCAGCTTAGCCCAACATTTCTGGGGTTATAGTCAAGATGTCAAGGATTCAGTTCTCTGTTTCTACTACATGGTAGGTAAGGTGGTGACAGCTATTGACAAGGGGCCTCTGTTCCTCTCCAAAGGGCTGCTTGGATGTCATCATAATATGATGCCTGGCTTTCCTTAGAGCAAGTGATCCAAGAAGACAAGGCAGAAATACCATGGTCTTTTATGATCTAACTTCAGAAGTCACATATTATCATTTCCTACATTAATTATTGTTCACACAAACTAATACTGACACAATATGAATGAGGACTATACAAAGACATGAGTACCAAGCAGTAAGGATGATTTGGGGCCATCTTGGAAAATGGTTATCACATACCCAGTAAAAAAAACCAGATTATCAATAAACAAGAAAGAACAGACTATCAAAACTGCTTCTGAGAGAAAAATATGTGAGCATAACAGACCTTTACTACAAAGATACAGCTTTTGTTATGAAATTATACTAAAATGAAAGACAATGATACTATATTAAAATGGAACTCAAACTTACCTATAAAAGGCAGATATTAAGGATACTTGATAAATCTGGAATATGGGTTGACATATAATTGGATATGAGATCATCAAAATATGCATTCTCTCAGAAATTATTCAGAATAAAATATGCAACTGGATTGCATTCTAATGAGAGATTTTCTTGTGGTTACAGTAAAAGTTAAGAGTAATCCAACTTAACAGGTCAGCAATGCCAAAATTCAACTGAAAAAAATTATTGAGCAAAATGTTTAGGAGTTATGTTTAGAGAGCTATATATCTGAGGCCTATTAATAAATTTAGTTCTTATATTCTAGTGAAATTTGTTTCTTTTGGGATCCAACCCATTTTTTTAATACAAGAATGAAATATCTACTCGTGTTGGCCCCCTCTGAGTAAAAACCCTCTCTAAACTCAACTCCTGGTTCCCCATCAATTTTCATTATAATTGATTCTACTCTAAAAGTAGAAAAGGGGAAATGTCATAAAATTTAGCTAACAAATCAGTCTAATTTTAAATTA